AAGTTATTCTGAATATAGAAAGCAATATGTAGTTCCATAAAGTGTATTGATAAATATGCATGACCCATAAATTATACCTATTATAATTTATATGTTTATTTTTGTAATAAATTCTGAACCGGTAAAATAGTTTGTTTATAACAATCGTAAACTAGTTGAATAAATTTTGTTATTTATACAAGAATTCTTTGTATTTTACCTGTATTTTCCCCCTTAAAACATTATAAAAATAGTGAAAATAGAGGGGTATAAACTCACTTGATAGTAGTGAAGAATTGAGCAGCACTTCGTTGCTAGAAAGGCTTTATTGCTGAAAACCGGGCTTTGCGAGGGTCGGGTTTAGAAACCGAAAGACTCTTTTATTACGGGCTTCAAGTGCCTCAGGATGTTCTTCGGGTGTTAAATATATTACCGAGACTTCGAGGGGTTGTAAGGGAGTTTAAAGGAGTGAAAATATATGAAAATTGGTGTGAAAAAGGTGTAAGAACCGGGAGGGTTGGCACCTCCTTTTATACCCTGCGAGGGTTCGGCCGAAGAAGGGAGGAGGGGCACGTGTAGGCTTCGGATGCGAGGGGGTAGGACGTGCGTCGGAAGCTAGTAGGCGAGACGTGACTCGCTTCCGACACGCTACTGATGCGACACGCGGCGGAACTGGATTGGACCTCGCTTCGGATGACTCACCAGGTGGGAACACGGGGCAGCTGCGAGGGAGCGGGTGACGTGGCCGATTCTAGGCCGTGTGTATGCGAAATTTCTCGGATTTTGGGCCTAGATTTTCAAAAATTCATAACTTTCGCATACGAGCTCCGTTTTCGACGTTCTTTATATGCACGCGTAGGCGAGATTATACTCTACAACTTTCGCTTAGACTCCGTCGGCTAATTTTGAATTTTTTAATATTATTATTTTTAACAGACCGAGACTGGAAAATCAATTAAAAATTCATAACTTTTCATCCGATGTCCGTTTTCGTTTACCTTTTACCGTTGTTCTACTATTAACGAGACCTTCGATTCTCGTTTAGGTTGTGTCGGCTAAATATCGTCGATCTTTATTTCGAATGTCTGGATGTCTGGATGTGTACTGTTATGTCGAATCTTAGAAAAATCATAACTTCTTTATACGAAGTCAGATTTGGACGTTCTTTTTATGGACATTCAAGGTTTAACGTATACTACAACTTTCATTTATATATCTAAGGCTAAAAAAATATTTTATTGAAAACTCACTTTTTACGCTTAACAGTGTTTTGCCGGTTTTGTCGCGGATCTTCGATTGGTCATAATTTCTTCGTTATAACTCGGATTTCAGCGTTCTTTATATTTTTGGAACCCTTATTACGATCTCTACCACTTTATTCATCCCAATTAAGATTATTTAATAAATCATTTTTGACGCTACTTCTCATCTCAATTAATTTTTATTTTTATTATTTCAAAATAAGTTACAATAGTTGTCCTAGACTATTACATTATGAATTTACAAGTATATAGGTAAAGTTTAAACTCTAATAAATATAGAATTTTTTCAGTTATGACAGCCAACTTATCCTAATTCACGGTATGTGCAAAAGACGAAAATACCCTCCGCATAGAAAACCTTGTAATATGTAATAATATCTCTAACAATTTGGGGTTAAAACTCTTTTCAGGTTCTGACTGAAAATGATGCTGCTCCAGCTGGATGTGCAGTATCAGTTGTAAACCAATCACTTTTTGTTTATCTAAAGCTTCAAGGAGCCATTGATGTCAAAAAAGAACGTGAAAAGCTTAATGCAAAGTTGACAGAGTTACAAAAGTAAGCAAATTAATTGACACATGTTCTTTCTGTAATAACTCAACAACATATATTAGAAAATGATGTGTCTTCCATGTTTGATTTTGATCAGGCAAAAGGATAGTTTGAATAAGGCGATGAGTGCTAAAGGGTATGAAGAGAAGGTTCCAGAACATATAAAAGAAGAAAACATGGCCAAATTGACTATGTTAATGCAACAATTGTTATCTTCGATTATAAGGGCCCTAAAGCTCAAATCTAGTCCATTTTATGGTCTAAGTGGATAAAGTTTCCAACTTTATCCCTTAAGACCCTCCAAGAGATAAAGATCTAAACTCCTAGGTCCAAAAAGGGCAAAAACACAACTTGGCTTAATCAATAAGAACTTAATCTTAAATACCTCTTGTCCAACAATTCCATAAAGTTTTCTAGCACCATTACTAACATAAAAATTCATGCCTTTCAGACATTCATGTCCAATGCATGTCTTGAACTCCTATTAGGTCAAAAATGAAGGTTAAAGGCAAAAAATTCATGCATGACACCAAAACTCATTTCTAATTCAGATCCAAAGCACAAAATACTCCAAATGGCCTGGAGATTCATAAAGTTGCAAACTTTATGAGATCTCACCACTCAGACCCATCAAGACATGAAGAAAACGGAAAAAATCTAAAGATCTAGCAACTTAGAAAGGAAAAGGTTGGGTCTTGGTCACTTACCAAAGTCCAGAAGATGTGCTAGCTGATGTAGATGATGCTTGCAAGGTAAACTCCCACACCAAGGGCTTCCTTCTGCTTCAAAGATCACCAAAAACACCAAGAATGAGTTCACAATTGCAATGGAGGCTAGGGTTAGGGTTTCTGAGCTTGAGAGGGTGTTGGAGGCTAAATGATCCTGAAACCCTAGCCTTAATGTTCTTTAAATAGGGCCCAAATCCCAAAGATTAAGGTTTTTATCTAAAAATACGTGCCACGTCGTGGCGGGTTATTTAAATTCGTAACCCAAATCAATACCATCATGTCGTGGTGAAGCTCCACCACGTCGTGGCCACCAAAAAATAAGGTTTAATATTTAAAAATTGTTCATACCTGGAACGGGTGTTACAATTTCGATGTAAACTAACAACACCCAAACATCTCAATTGTTTTCAGTTGGTCCTACAACAATGACATCTTTAATTTAAACTCCGGAACGTTTTCAATTCATTCTGGAGGTGTTCTACGCATTCTGGAACAGTAATTGTAGATTAATAAGCACGTTATACAAACAAACAAAGTAGGTTTTTGAAGTGAAGAACATACCCGTAAAATAATGGGGTTATAGTGGTCTTCTTCCATGTCGGAGATCGGAGTTACGTGTCGGAGATCGGAATCAGGATTGGCGTCACATGTCGGAATTGAATGGGAAAGTCGGAGCAAGATCGGGAATGAAGTCAAGGGTCTGGATTTTTTCAAATTATATTACGGAATTTGAATTTCAAATTCCCGATCTGGAACACAAACGGTTTGTTCAAAATGGGAATTCCGAAGGCAAGGTAATGGGCATGTCCACCCAAAAATGAATCCGAAATATGTTCTAGAATGTCCTATTTCGGACCAAGTGGTCATCTAAAAAAAGATTATATTTTTAAAAAACACCCAAAAAAATGGTTAGATCACTCAATTTCCCTTTAAAATTTAGATACTGCTATCTATACCCATTTTTCCTAGCATTACCCCCTCAATCATTATATGTTTTATACCACATTTTATATTATTTATTTTTATAACACATTCTCATAATGCCAACCAATACATACAAAATATATTCTTGCAAAACATTGAATAATGTGATGCAAACAATAAGACAATTAACCGATCCATGTGATGCTATGATCTGTTCACTTTTTCAGTTTTGAGGACATTCTACGTTTAAAATTTTACACTAAAATTCAAAACAACAATAAACCCACCACCATTAACCAACTGTTGGTAACCTTCCACCGTCGTTGGACACTAATCGTTGGATTTTACCACTGAGTGAGAAAAAGACAAACGAGAGAGGGACATTGTATTCAACACACTACCAGCGACAAACAACCGTCATTAACCATTGTCACCGGCCACCACGGTCGGGATCTACCAGAAAGAACGTTAGAGAGACAGAATGGGAGAGAGACCCCGAGAGAGAACACTATGAACCAACGAACAACACCCCAGAAACCATGCCGGCCAAATACCATTCATCGGAAAATCGTGAACCACCGTAAGAGAGGCCAGCATCAAGCACAAAACTTGATGTTGCTCTCTGTCGGACAACCATGGACGTCGTCGGAGCGTCGAACTACCTTGAGCCTCGTCGGACTCTCTCTCTCTCTCTCTCTCTCTCTCTCTCTCTCTCTCTCTCTCTCTCTCTCTCTCTCTCTCTCT